ATTCTACGACAATCGTTTACTATCCAATCAAGGTGACAGCCGAGCGTGGATGAGCCCGCGGTCGTCCTACAAAATTTGTTCTGGGTGTGATACTCCGAAATGCGATCTGACACACACCTTGAAAACGGGTAGTGTGGTCCGATATACCGGTTAATTCAGGATCCTTATGTGCCGAGTCTGGTAGTTGGGTAGGCCTGAGTTTCAATCGTTTAATGTGAACTCGTTGCCTGCTCAGGTACATTCTGATTCCCTATTCAATATTACACACTTTTAGTACGTACTCCAGCTAATGGCTTCATGCACTTCTTATCACTGGCTTCTTAATGCGACAGGTACACAAGCCTTACTCAGCCTCTTCAAAATTGACACAATGTATTATGGAGAATAATAAAAATTATGACTTGAAATTATTGACATCGTCCATGATCTTAGAATAGACGCCATTGATCGCCGATGAAGGACAGAAAACGCAGCAAGGATGCTCAATGGTTGCTCAAACATCGCAGTGGACGCCTTGGGTTGCACAGGGGACGTACAGTGGAGGCAGGCAGGTTGCTCGCAGTTTTTACAGGTAAAATCAAGATTTGGTCGTTCAAAGGACGCACAAGGGACGCAGACGCCTTTACACTGAGACACGATTTCATTGCTTTGGCGACCGTTGAGCGTCCTGACCACATTTTTGAACACAGAAGGAACGCAGAAAGGACGCCGCCCAGTGTAAAGGGGCCCTTACCTAAATGCTGACTTTTGTCAAAGTAATTCCTTATCAAAGGAGAGGCTGAAGTGTGGTCTTAGAATACCATTTTGTCAGGACTTCCTTTACCAAGGAACACCTCATCAAAGGAAGCCTTTATAAAAGTTGACCTTAGGCCTATTTTAAGGAACATCTTGGAATACGGGCCTTTGTCTTGGCCCCGTGCGACGAATGTCGTAATTTATGTTTTGTGCTCCTTAAAAACCGTTAATATACTGGTGCCCTGTTATGTATAGAACAGATTGCTAGAACGGAAGCAGTATTCTGAAAATTGACCTCAGTCGTTCGAAAGAAAATGAAAAAAAAAAAGGAGAAAGTGACACACTATTTCATGTTCTTTGTTGTCTGTCTACCCTGGCCTACCTAAAATAAGTACCTGCAGGTATTGTAGACGTCCATTGTTTGTTGTTTTCATTATATCGTAAATGTCGGATGCCACCATGCAACAAACTTCGAATTTCCGTACAATGAAATTGCGGCGCCGTAGGCAGTGGGACAGTATCTATTTTGAAGTTGTCATATATACTGACAGTCAATGAAAAAGCATCATTTATTTATAAAATAATATTTTTGTTCTTTTGGCACATTAAGTAAATAACAGTTTACATGTGAAATATGACCCATTATTCAGTTACACAAGGTGAAATAAAGGTCAGAAAAGATCATTAAAATGCAAGGTCACGCAATCAAATCTGTTTGGTTCAGCCCAGCCTCCAGCATCCCAAGGACCCGCAGTCACTCTTTCAGTGTCAAAGGTGGCATCACTGAACTTTTTGTTATGTTTCACACTGGATTTGGTGACTATCTTAAATAGGCTTAATTAATCACCATATACTGAACCTGATTAATTCAAACCAATCACAAGACAGGAAAAACACGTGATTTTGTAACAGCTGGTCACAAAATCACTGAAGCGGAAATTTTAAACGTCCGAGTGGTCAGCCCACAAGTGCATTTGTAATCGTTTAAATTGTTGGAATCGATTCTAGGTAAAAAAATACAAGAAAGTTCTCTGATTCATTTTCATTGGCTGTTAGTACATGTACTTATACTATTCACGTGAACACTAAACGGTTATTTGTACATGCATTAAATATATGGAGCGGTTAGGTTCGTACCATTTAAAATTCGACCAATGAATTTAGATCCCAAACACACAGGTACAAAAAGGGACAAGAGCAATAGCTACATGTAGTTGCTACTGAAATAATCGTCTACGAAAGTTATACAGGTGAATAACGAGAGCACTGGATGCAAATTCAAGAATAAAAATAAGCAGAGACGAGAAGCGATACATTGAGGTGATTAAACACTCAAGTACAGGGGCGGATCCAGAGATATTTTCTGACAGTCTTCCATATTATATTTGTTGGTCCATCCTCCATTTTTTGACCGTCTTCCGACAGAAAAAATTAGATACCCGTCAATGTAAACTTGAAAATTTGACCGTCTTCCGGAAGACCCAGAAGACGGCCTAGTACCCCTGCCACTTTACGTTGTAATAAATGTCCTTCCTGTTTTAGGATTTGTAGTGCTGTTAAAGTAATTACTTAATGATTCCTAGCTACAGTACAGTGTGTGCTTATCCATCTCTTTTAATCCATTCAATGTTTGCTTTTTCACTGATCTAGAATAGGGACGGAAGACGCAACTGTTCAGACAGCTTTCGAATAAGATCGTCAAATACTTGTATATCCTGTCGTCCTGTCTTTTGAATGTATAATTAAATAGTGGTTTCATCTTCCTATTAAATCGAGTACTACATGTACTTTGTCCAATATGTTGGTTTGCGACTGCACGGGAGTGGGGTAAGGGTGGGGGAGGGGGTGGTTAAGGCCGACCTTTGGGCTTAAGCATATACAGGCACATGTACATCCACAAACGACAGAGGTTACGTTTTCATTGCTGTCTGCTTGTTTGTGGACATGGTACTTCAATAAGTTATTTCCCATAGGCCAGGAGCTTGGTCTCTTACTAAAGATTTTTTTACCCCACTGTTACACATGTATTTACAATTTGCTCTGGGAGGTGTTAGCGCAAGTGGAACGATTCATAGTTTCTATTAAAGTGCCAGGTGATGAAAAATAAACTAAGGACCGAAACCGGTCCACCTTTAACCCTGTCCGGCCCCACCTCTACCTTTGACTTCAATTGACACTTAAGAGACTTTTTACTGCTCTTAAGAAATAAGGAGTGTTATTTGTATCCCTGATCTCGCTCTTTACACAAAAATTCGATCTTTACATAGAAAGTTGGGAGCAAATAAACAGCCATAAAATATGTCTTAAGATTAGATAACGCGTTTGTCAATATTAAATTAATCAAATTTCAGGAAAACTTCTTTAAGAAACGTGTAGCGTTAAGAACTCAAGTGTAAAAATACTTTTAGTGTTTTTTCTGTTAAGAGAAGTCGCTCTTCTTGTTAAAGAAACACGGAGAAGACAAGATGAAATGTGAAAGATAATAAGTACTCGGAAAAGTAAATATTATCTCATGACAGTTTAAATTTGCATTCGCTTGTAACGCGCACCTGTCGACAAAGTTATAACGATAAAAATAGGCATCACAAACTGTGGGTTAATATACTCCAGTTTGACAATATCGTTTAGTCGTTTTACGCTGGATGTACTAGTGAATACGTATTCAGTAATATAAATGGTTAAAACTGCTGGCCAAAAATAAAATCATATTCATTGTGTGGTTGCAGGCGACGTGGCACCGACCTAAGACCTACAATTATAGATGATGTATGCTGTTATACACAATTACAGATATGTGCAGTATTTTGAGATCATCCAAAGAAACGAGTAGACGCAGCAGAAATATGTGGTTACCAAACCATCTGTTTTCATGCTGTGAAAAATGACCGTTGCTGTGACCGCACTCGGCGTTTNGTGTGGTTGCAGGCGACGTAGCACCGGCCTAAGACCTACAATTATAGATGATGTATGCTGTTATACACAATTACAGATATGTGCAGTATTTTGAGATCATCCAAAGAAACGAGTAGACGCAGCAGAAATATGTGGTTACCAAACCATCTGTTTTCATGCTGTGAAAAATGACCGTTGCTGTGACCGCACTCGGCGTTTATGTGAATAGGCCCAATGGACAGTACAGAAGCTCGTCCTTTCTCATCCAAGGATAATAATTGTCTATTTGTGTCAAGAGCGCCCTCCCCCTCTCCGACCATGTACCTGTCAACAGTTTTTAAAGTGAATGCTATATTTGCCTCTTCTCCCCCACCCTTCTAAATTTTTGTGACCTCTTATATGTCGCACGACTCGAATTAAAGCATAGACCCTATGAATTTAAGACATTAACAACAGTTTGTACGGAATGGATTTTATTTCATCACTTCCTCATTTTTAGTTCACTGAAAAGGTGAGTTGTTTTGGATAATAATGGGAAATGCCCCCAGTCTTAACGATGCTGAGGTGTGCGTCATAATTGCCAAACCCAAGTTTATCCATAAATTTTGACCATCAAATGCCACTGACAAAAGCCTTGACACTTAAGTCCGGGTATGACACGTCGCACCTTGTCATAAATAGTAATTTTCACATACATGTAGGAGTATATCAAATCCAGTGGTGCTTTTTCTGGAGATTGTCACCTTTTTCTTATACTATGCCAACCTTGAGGCCATTTTTGCTACCAGTACTACAGCATATGTATGTATTTACCGGTAGTTACCATATATATTTAGTTACCAATATACTGTGATATACCGGTAGATTCAGCTGATCATTTGTCGACATGAAAAAAGTACAAGTCAAAAATTTTAACCAAATTCAGATGGTATTTTCAGATTACAGGTTTTTCGGTTTTAATCTTAATTTCATAATTTTTTAATTGTATAGAAGGACGACACATATGCATCAATCAATGAAACACCTCAATGAAAGAACGTTATTTTTCTTCCTTATATTTTACACGTATTATTGTTCTTCCTTTTTTTTACTTAGCAAACAATCCATCATCCCAACGCTATGATCGATGACTAGTTAAACAGTTTAAAATCCGGAATCAATACAATAAAACTTTCTATCCCCTTACTGGGCCACACAAATAACAAAATACTTCAAAATACTTAAGGTATAAATATCTGCCAAGGTAACAAAGACTAAGTATGCACGTTCAGGGCCCTGTGTCTGAGACCAATATGTTCCGCATCATGGATAACGAACTGATTCTAGGTGTATATTATTCGCCGTATTATTATTTCAACACATATAATTCACCCGTCCTGCAGAGGCGGCAGACGTGAGTTGTTCTCCGTGAAGAAGATTCAAGATGAACGCCCTTTATCTGTTGCTAGTGATTGGTTGGTGAGTTTGTGTCTTTGTGGTCTTTCCCTTTTTATACTCCTTTTCAGCTCTTTGTCTTTCTCTCTTTTTCTCCAATTTTCTCTCTCTCTCTCTCTCTCTCTCTCTCTCTCTCTCTCTCTATCTCCGATTTTTTTCGTTATTTAATGCAACAGCCCGGGTACAGGTCATTCATCTGAGCTGACCATCTGTGTGTCCGAGCAAACACCGAACGTTATTTTAACGTTAACCTATGGTTATGGTTACGTTATAATAAGTCCTGTGTTTGCTAGGGTAGTTTAGATAAGTGTATGAATAGGCAGTGGACAGTCCAGTAAAATAAACGTCAATAATCTTTCACGTATTCACATATTCTGTATCCCGAGGTATTCTACGGTATTCTGTAGTATTTCACGGTACTCTACAGTATTTACCAGTGCATGCTTACCTGTATTCACGTGTCTCACTGTATTTACAATATTCCAAGGAATAAACAATATTTCGTTGCGCTCTATTGTTCTTTTTCTTACGTCTTTTACGTTTTTTACATCTTATTTTATTTGATTTTTCTCTCTCCCGTAGGTTGTCTATTTATTCAAAGTTCTAGCTATTTATCTACATTGTTTCCAAATGAAATCTTGCTTACTTATTGCTTCATCTCCTCTTATTTATCGTTTTTTAAAACATTTTTTAGTCTTTTTTCTTCCTCGAGCTCTTACCTCGCAGTAAATCCATTCATTTGTTTGCCTGTTTACTTTTTATTTACTTATTTATTCATTCGCCAATCTAGTACTACATGTAGTAGTTCATCTAAACTGAAAGAAGAACCAGAGCGTAGCAGTCTTGGAAAAAAATCTAGAGGGGTTCTACTGGTTAGCGTATATGGTTAAGCATAACCAGTCGTTTTGAATATATCAATCCAGACAGTACGAAGACACGAGAGAGTCGTTATATGCGACAGTAATCACACTATAAAACAAGGACGTGGTTAACGCTAAGGACAGATGTGATTCATTCAAAAATGCCATTTATTTATTTTAATTCATTCTTTCATTTATTCATGATATTTGGGAAGATAAAAGTGACCGCGGCTAAGGTGACGAAGGAGACATTTACAAAAGAAAGTGTATTGATATTAATAAGAGTTACCTCTACTATTGTTATTTATCGGGTTTATGCCGCAAATATGTGCTCTCATCTGATAGATAAGTAATTTATTCGAATTTTGGTTAACCTCTTTTTCACACAAGCATAATGTGCCATTGTCTTGTTGTAGGCCCAATGCCAAATGAGATTTGTCCTTTTTAACTTTCTATCAAATTGCGACACTCAAGCGTGCAGAGGACAAGCTGAGAGTCAAAATACTGTAAGCTTAATTCACATAGCGCGGTACAGTCACCAATACTGAGACCCTTAAACTGGTCATTTTGCCTCCGTTTTCGCTTCTTCATAACACCCTAATACATGAGTTATCATAATGACGCATCTACATGTATGAAGATCAACTAAAAAGATGTAATATCTCATCTGAGGATCAAAATACATGTACGCGCTGCAATCTATTTACGTTTATTTCAAAATACAATAGAATCTAAGCACGTAGTGCAGTCAGTAATCGACACTGAAACTCTGTAACTGGTCATTTGCCTCCGTTTTCGTTTCTTCATAACACCTTACTAAATGAGTTACTGTATCATAATGACGCATCTATGAAGATCTACTAAAAAGATGGAATATCTTATCTGAGGATCAAAATACATGTACATCGCACATTATAATTATCGATCTCAGATTATTATTGATAGATTTTCATTGATGCTTTTTTTATGATAACATTTATTTTTAAAGAACTACAGTATACGGCGATTTGATATGGATTTCATAACACCCTGTGTTATAAATTCTCGGGACTATAAAATTGCAAATTTTAACTGTGTGTCCGCCGTCCCACTGTAAAGCATATCTTTCGCAAATAAAGTAATTTTTATCGGTTCGCGAACAAGTTTGATAACATTTTACTCTCTTTACTCCAGCTATGTCGTAGTGCTAGGACTTCGGCGCACCATTTATAAGTGACGCCACAAAAGGTCATAATTATGTACCAACAAATCGCCACCTTTAACCTAAATTCACAACACGACTGTCCATGTCTCGCGGTTACATTCATTCAAACGGTAATGTCCGTTAACACCTGTTAAATGACTTCCCTGTCGCGTCACGTTGCATCTCTTTCTTCTTAACAAAGGTAAATAGAATAGGAGGTGGGTGTTTTCGTAGGCTCCGGCGCAGTGTGCCAATAGATATAGAAAAATGTAAACTATTTGAGCCCGAATAAGTTCACTTTTGTGTCTGATCAGCATAATAATCCTGTTTATTGTATTAATTATACATTGGGAGTCGCGATTTAAGTTTTTTGGTTTACTTTCCCTGCAGGTTGGCAACATTAGTGCCCATTGTGACGGGGTCTTACTGCACACAAACCTACACCTGCACAAAATCTCAGCGGTATACGACTAGCTGCGGTTTTCTGGGATGGAAGAGATGTACTCGTTACAGGTAACACGACTAGTTCTATGTAATGCCCCTATTTCACACAGACTACGAATCCCACGAATGGCCATGAACTGAAAATTTCAGGATTCGTGGTTGAATCGTAATCAGTTCGTGAAGTTCTTAACAGATTCGTATATAATCGTAGCCAGTTCTTGCAATTCTTGATCAATCGGGAATTCGTGGCAAAAAATTTGAGCTGTTCAAAGTTTTGGCCACGAACTCCAGATTCCAAAAAATCGTAGTGAATTTCTGGACAATATTCGTGCGATTCCAGCCGAATCCCACGAATATTCGTAACACTATCGCACCTGTATCGTAACTGAATCTTAGAGCGTGTCGAATTAGACCAGAAAATTGGCAAAATCTCACGATTCCAGCCAAATCCCACGAATATTCGTAACACTATCGTATCTGTATCGTAACTGAATCCTGAGCGTGTCGAATTAGACCAGAAAATTGGCAAAATCTCAAGAATCCTTACGAATCCTGAAATTTGTCAATTCCTGGCGNTTAGAGCGTGTCGAATTAGACCAGAAAATTGGCAAAATCTCACGATTCCAGCCAAATCCCACGAATATTCGTAACACTATCGTATCTGTATCGTAACTGAATCCTGAGCGTGTCGAATTAGACCAGAAAATTGGCAAAATCTCAAGAATCCTTACGAATCCTGAAATTTGTCAATTCCTGGCGATTCGTGGGATTCGTGGTCTGTGTGAAATAGGGGCCTAAGATAACCAAGTGTAACAGGAATGGTAGTCCGCTTCCCATTACTTTGTACAGGTGACATTCGTCCCATATACTTATACTAACTCCGGATAACCCTACTTATCACATGGGAGCCCGGATAACCATTTCACCGGCAGGATATACACTCTACGGTTGGAAATAAGGGAAAAAGAACTGTACACAATATATTGTAGAACCATCAGTTTGGGATGGAAATAAATTTGCATTGGTCTCTGGTACACTGTAGGTCAAAATACAATCTCATTTAAACCAAAATTGACCAAAAGTTTCCGGGCCGTGACGTACCCTCTTCTAAATAATAATAATAATAATGATAATAATAATAATAATCTTTATTCATCTATACAATTGGATTCTTTTTACAGAAACGTGAACTCCCAGTGTTCCAGGCAGGTGTGTTGTAACGGATGGACCGATCCAGGTTGTAACCAAGGTATGTGGACTGATGCTTAATTGCATCGAAATTAAGGTAGTTGGAAGAAACCAGGTTACGGTTTCGGCGATAATGAGTGTAAAAAGAAGAAGCAATCTAACCGCAGCTGCCTATATACCAAGGATCCTGTTCCGGTTCCTGGAATCATGGGAGTGGGAGTGGATATCATTATTAACAGTTCATGATTCATATTCAGGTGCAGTTGACAATAGAACAGGAGTGTTATAACAAATAATACTGGTAAACACTAAGGACCCGATTCCTGTTTTCTTAAGAACGCGCAGAAGGTAGAGGGTATCCTAATAGCATGTAAAATTATATAGAAAATTATATTAAACATAATAACATAACAAAAGTAAAGAAGCAGCTTATCGGGAGAGAGTTGAGTTTCTGTACATCACTTCTAACAATTACACCGTCACTGTACCTGGTACGATTTATAATAATAAAGGCAGGACGGCACAAGGGTGCTATTAAAATAAGTACAACACAGCATCAAATCGATACCATGCCCTCAGCAGTATTTTTTAGGTTCTACCCGGATCTTATTAATCCTTCATTTGCTGTTTTTCAATCAGCCCTTTGCTATGGCACCAAGTCGTGTCCTAACGGCGGAACCTGCGTCTCTCCTAACAAGTGCTCTTGTCGACCAGGGTACGCCCTTCCACGATGTACAGGTAAGATTCCCTGATTTTGTTTATCAGGTGTCGTAATAACTCTTTAAAGTAGAGCTAAAGAAACACTGTGATTAATTTCTACAAATAATGTTTTGTAAGTTGGAATTAAAACGTTGATTTAAAGGTTTCAAAGCTTTGTTGGAATTTTGTCAAAAAATTTAAGAGTAACTTAAATGACAGAAACTAAAGCAAAATGTCAGAAAAAGTTAAGTGAAGAAATGATTGTACCGGTATTAATTAATTCGTGCAAAATGATTCTCTCTTTTTTGCTGAGATTACGCATTTTAATTTTAAAAAAATTTAAGTTTTAAGTTTTAAAAAACTAGTAGTTGTATTTTCTGGGAATATCAATTGGACTTATTTAAGTATTTTCCATAGCTTACCCAATCAACTGTCGATTTAATGTTTCTCTTCGTCATTACTCTCAAGCCATTTTATGCAGTTCCCCAACTTAACTGCACAGCGTTTCATTTCGCTGGTACAGGGCGTATAATGCCCACAGTATCTACAATTAAACGTTGGGGTACATGTATCTAAATGTCCTTTTTTATAATAAAAAATGGTGATTTTCTACATCTTTACAGATATAAACGAGTGTGCCAGCAGTCCTTGTCAAAATGGTGCACGTTGTGTAAATGAAGTGAATCGCTATACCTGTCAATGCGCAGCCGGATACACCGGTGTCAACTGTCAGAACGGTAAGTTTGAGAAATTGCTTCCACGTCATATGCCAGTGGGTGGCTAGGCCGGGCTTACCGTTCCCTAAAATATTAGTCATGGCGGAAGCAAAGACACAAGAAGGTTTCGGGGAAGGAGAAACCCCTAGCTACAGTATTTTTTTGGAACAGTCATAAAACAGCGCCCTCTTCTAAAAACATGTCCCCCGTACCTGTACGTTCCTGCATGTGCACTGGTACGTCTTTGATATTTATATTCAATAGTAAGTCACTCGAGCCAATGTTTGTACGGCAAATGTAAAATTTGATTCCATACGTGTTACTCATTTCACAATATATGGTTCTGTAAACAGACGAAGAACAATGGTTGCAACCATAAATACAACTTCTGAGACTTAAATTGTAGCAACCATACTCTGAGACTTAAATTGTAGCAACCATATATTAAATATGTAATTGTATTAAAAACACGTGTGAGTATGAAATAAACCGAGAAAATCGATACATCTTAACAGAAATACACATGTATACTTCAAACAATATTAGAACAATTTACAATGTACATGCACTGTACACTGTACATTGGCATCGTTAAAATACGGATATATTGATATAAATTTTATGGTGTCATGGCAACCCTTTCAATACGTCAAATATGATAATTAACATTTCTATCCTAAAGAATTGAGAATAATTAATGTAATTTTTAATTTACCCTTTAATTTAATGTCTTAACTATGTTTTTACATCTTTTTTTTTCAAAGAAAGTTGATTTGACTGTAAAACTATTGTTGTTATTTGAAGTGCACCCTTTAATTTGATGTCTATGATTTACAGCTTGTTTTTTAATACTGCAATATTTAATCATTTTATCATTGTAATGTCTACTGGACTTTTAAGTATTTTAGACTTAAAATAAATGCTATTATTATTATTATTACTATTATAGATATTAACGAATGCAGTAGCAATAACGGCGGATGTGCACAGCAGTGTGTTAATTTGCGAGGTTCCTTTGTCTGCAGGTGTGGTAGCGGATATAGGCTCGCGTCGAACAACAGAGGATGCGACGGTAGGTGGCACTCACAGTGTGCGTTAGCAATAAGTGCACCTACATTATTGATATTAGTCAGAAATATATGTGTATTATTGCTCTTTTGAAAAAGAGCTTCATTTCATTAATTTCTTATTAGGCAGATGCTTGATAACACCTGATGGAGCAAGATAAAAAAATAATCAAATCGTGATAAACGGGTTGTTTTCATTATACGTAAAATACATATGTCAACCATAATATGATAGTATCTCAAACAATATTCAGTTTAACAGTTTTGATAATACCATAATTAAGCTGAAGCTGATCATGACTGTCAGAATTTTTCATATACTACATGTACTTGATAACGTGCTGGTACAATAAAACAACCGTATACTGGTAGGCTCACAAACCAAAGATTTCTTTAATTGGTAGCTTTGCATGTTGATACATACACTGTGTTTATATGCTAATCTAATGTTCATTTTTCTGCCATTTTTGACCAATCTCTGCAGACATAGACGAATGTGCTGCCGGCAGTTCTGGTTGCGCTCACCGTTGTTCAAACACCGTCGGTGGCTTCCAGTGTAGCTGCAATGCCGGGTACACCTTGGACGGCAACGGCAAGACTTGCAATGGTAACTGTGAAAAAATTGTGTTATTTATATTTCTCAAAGAACACGCAGTGAAAGCTATATGAAATGCTAGCTAGCGGTAGGCTTTTAGGCAGCGGGAAGGGGGATTGGTGTTTGGAAAGCAGCATGCCTTTTTAAACGTAAATTGCCCTTTGTAACCCAAAATTTTGTCTACTTGAAGGTACTATGGCATTTCTGAAGTTGGGTCAATTAATGACAAAAAAAGGTCTACGTTTTCAGAAAAAAAAACTTTTTACCTTGCCGGCTACAGACCTGCGCAATTTATACGTGGAATACACGCATCTTTGCATTGTATGCAGAGAAACTGTCGATGCGTCACGTACACGACACACCGTTCAACCTCTCCCCTTAATC